CAGTATGGGGAGGACTGGGAATGAACATTTTTACCGTTTACTAGAAGAAAGATCCAGTCCCAAGGGAATAGTAGGCAGTGAAGCCCTCCATAGATGACTACCTTGCAGAGTTTGAACAGATCTGGGGAAGCCGGGCTGATTTAATTAGAGAACAATGGAATGACTTAGTATGCGCTGGAAGAAGGTGCTTTTTCTAGCTATTGAAAGTGTTTTGGTGCTTTGTACCCACATACTCTTGCCATTGTTCTATTGATTTTACAAAAAAGTAAAAATTGGAAGAGAAACAAAAATCTAATGAACTTAAACTAAAATCAAATCAGTTGTGTTGTTGAGGGTCTGTTGGGGTCCAGCCCACACTAGGTCGGGAGAGAGATGGAAATTGCGGGGCCTTCATCTTACCCTAAACCTTTCCACCACTGAGAGGCCTTGTCCATGGGGACGTGATGGTTACTCGGAGTTGAAAGATGGTAAGTGTCAGCTGTCACCTCAGGTCCTCATTGTCACACTGGCCACAAGGGTTGGAGAGTGAACATCAATAAATCTTCCCCGTCGCCTGTCAGCCCAGCCACCTTTACTCCCCACTGCTCTCTGACGGCTCTGCCCAGAGCTCCTCAGGGGAAGGCATTTTCAAAGGCGTGTCTGGCCAGTGTCGTACCACTGAAGGATCTGATCTCCGTCCTAACATGACTTGCCACCGACTTCATAAAAACATCAGTCAAACAGCCTCCGTATGAAAATAATGTGCAGTGAATTCTTCTTATGCTGGGTCATCCATAATAGAAAACCAGCCAGAGGTGGCCCCGTATTTCTTTCTGCTCCCTAAAATGTAATAAATTGAAACTTTTAAAGCTCATCATGAAGACAGCTTGTCAGCAGCGGCCCAGGACCTGCCCCGTGGAGGTGTTGGGCTGGGAGATTCCTGGTCTGGCCCATCCAGATCCTATTAAAATCTAGACCTGCTTGACTTGTGTGCCTCTGGGTCACTGACCTCCCTCTACCCATCCCAGTGGGACAGGAAGGCCAAAATTCCTCCTTAAGATGGTCAGTGTCAAGGCCGTGCTTATCCTGACTGTGTAAACTTGGCCCCTTTTGGCTTCTGCTTCATTTTCATTCTAAAATGGAGTTAAAAATTCCCACTTCTGAAAGGAGCCCACAGTGACCGTTGTTACCGTATTGTAATGTTTTCTCACTGCCAGACACTGTGTAAGCACTTTGCATGTTTTCACCCATGTATCCTGCAGGCATTCCATGATGGAACCATTCCCATTTTACAGAGAAGGAAACTGAGGCATAGGAAGATGGTGTTGCTGGGAGAAGCAGACTCCCTCGGGTCTGGCTCCAGTGCCCCAGCTCTGAACCACACATACAATGCAATCTGGCCCTTAGTGTTGGTAATGTTGGTTTCCTTCCTCTGTCCTTCGGAATGAATGCGTTAATCCCTGGCAGGTTCCAGGAATGATGCATATTTCCACCACATTTGCTCAAACTCTGTGTTCTGTCATTTTACAGACTCCCAACCTAGTCCAGGCTCTCCTGATGCTGCTGCCTAAGAGGTTTCTGTTACAGCACAAAACCATTGAGCTGTTTTCTCTGCAACAGAGCTCTCTCTCTCTTTGGATCCATTCTATCTGTGTGGTCAGACCTTCCAGTGAGTGGCTTTCTATGAGGGATAGTGAAGCTCAGTGGTTAAGAGCTTGGCCTCTGGTGTTGGAGCAAGCAGGCTGTCCACAGACCAGCTCTGTGATGGTGAACAAGTCACTTCCCCTCTGTGTGTCTCAGAGTCCGCCTTTATCAAAAGGTCCTAATGGTGGCACCTTTCTCCTAGAGGTGCTGTGGGGATTTCATGAAGCAAGGCAGAGAAAGCACAGTGCCGTGAACATGGTCCCCAAGCAACAGTAGCAGGTGGGGCGGCTAATGCCAAAACCATCAGGGCCGAGATAATCCTATCTCCAGCCCAGTATGAGCTAAGAAGGCCGGCAGCTGTCTCCATTGACTGCTGTCTGTGTTCATCTCTGTCTGGGGATAAGTCATCCCTCTCTCTGCTTGCTCCAAGGAAAGAAGGGAAAGGAAAGAGCATTTCTGGATCATGCACCATTATGCCATCTATAAAATGGGGATAAAAATAGAGCCTGCTTTCTCCGGGGGCTCTGAGGACCGGCGGGATCATGCTGCTGAAACCCTCTGCTGAAGTAGGGGCTCGGCAGATGGGAACTGTGTCATCGTGTTCTGCTTTGCCCTGTTGCTTTATTTACAATGACTCTCTCTTGCCTCCTGGCTCCCAGCCCAGCTCCTTGGCCTGGCGGAGGGGCCCTGCATGAGGCCTCCTCTTCCACCATTAGTTATCTGACATCATCTCCCTTGATGGCCCATCTGCTCCTGCCGCCCAGACCTTTTGTTCTTTGCACACTGCGCTGTGCCGATTCTTCCATTTCTCTCCACTTCCACCCCTTCCGCCCCAGCTGGAGCACCTCCACTGCCTCCTTCCTGCAGGACCATGGCAGCCGTCTCACTGTCCGTCCTATTTCCAATCTGGTCCCACCCTCCCCACAGCAGCCAGAGGGAGATTAGGCCACCTACCTCCTTAGAAACCATCCATGGCTTCCTGGCAGACTGAAATAAAATCTAAGCTTTGCAGCCCAGCTCACAAGCCTCAGTGATGTGACCCCTGTGCACATCTTCAGCATCTCCCCCTCCTCTCCTTCTCTGTACAGCTGCCTGGCCGCACTAGTGTACTTTCTGTTCCTCAGCACCACCGTTAGTTCCTGTCTCTGCCTCAGGGCCTTTGCACTTGCTATTGCTGCTGCCTAGTGCACTCTGCACATGGCCATCTGCTTTGCATCTTGTTTTTTTTTTTTTTTTTTTTGAGACAGAGTTTCAGTCTTGTTACCCAGGCTGGAATGCAATGGTGCGATCTCGGCTCACTGCAACCTCCGCCTCCTGGGTTCAAACAATTCTCCTGCCTCAACCTCCCAAGTAGCTGGGATTACAGGCATGTACCACCATACCCGGTTAATTTTTTTGTATTTTTAATAGAGATGGGGTTTCACCATGTTGGTCAGGCTGGTCTTGAACTCCTGACCTCAGGTGATCCGCCCTCTTGACCTCCCACAGTGCTGGGATTACAGGCATGAGCCACTGCGACCGGCCCTTCCTTTGCATCTTTTAGGTCTTAGCTTAAATGCTTCTCCTTCATGAGTCCTCTGACTTCTGCTTAAAAGAGGGGCTGGCTTTGCCCTGCCTGCCTTCAGGGGAGCTCTATCACCCACCTCCTAGCCATGGCAGAGGCACTTGAGTCACCTGCTGGAAAATAAGACCAGGCCTGACATCTCACTTCCTCTGTCCATTATGCTCTAACAAGGCCAATTACCTTCCCTTGCTCTACATCCATTTTCTCAGTGTGTCTCAATCCCTCCCATTTGCCAAGTGAAATGGACCCCCAGCCCTCTTTTGCTGGGCCCAACTGCAGGAATATATTGTTCTCAGGGGCTGGAAAAGGGGATTTTGTGAGTTATGGCCCATCCCTCTCTGAGCCCCGAATGTTGACCTTAGGTGATTTCTAAGAGTGTTTTCTGTTCAGAGATACAGAAAAGGGGGATAAGAGGGCCGACGGGACTTATTGTAGACCTCCTAAATGTTCAGCACTCTGAATGTGCAGGCATCCTGCTGTGAGCTGAACATGATAAATGAGCTGAGTTAGGCTGGGCGTGGTGACTCATACCTGTAATCCCAGCACTTTGGGAGGCCGAGGCAGGCAGATTACGAAGTCAGGAGTTCAAGACCAGCCTGGCCAATATGGTGAAACCCTGTCTCTACTAAAAAACACAAAAATGAGCCATGCATGGTGGTGGACGTCTGTAGTCCCAGCTACTCCAGAGGCTAAGGCAGGAGAATCACTGGAACCCGGGAGGTGGAGGTTGCAGTGAGCCGAGATCGCGCCACTGAACTCCAGCCTGGGCGACAGAGCAAGACTCTGTCTCAAAAAAAAAAAAAAAAAAAAAGGCTGAGTTTGAGTTCCGAAGAGGCAGCTGCCAGTTGCAGAATGGATTTAGGGTGTGTTCATGAATATGGCTTTCTCCAGGGGGGCATGTCAGTCACCTGGGGCCGTGTACATAAGTAATTGGATGAATCTTGATGACTCCACTTTGCTAGGATAGGAGGCCTACAGTGTGCAGGTGGGAGGAAAAGTGAGAAAGGAAAATGTGAGAGAGAGCTTTAAGTTGGTGGCTGTTAGCCTTCTAGTGAAACCTGTGAACCCAGGAAAATGCCAAATGCTCACAGGCAGAATATTTTGCATGCCATTTTAAAGGGGGTCTGTGGACTCACTTTTAACCCTGAACCCTGGTTAAGAAACTCCCACTTGGCTGGTTCCCATAGGCCTTCAAACCACCTCCTCCAGGAAGCCTCCCCTGATTCCCATCCTGCGTTTCCACTGTGCCGGTGTCCCCCGCTTCCCTCTACTGCACAAAGAGGTTGTCATTAGCGGTTCTTGCCTGTCTCCCACTGAGAGGGCAGGGGCCGGCTTGATTGTTCCGTGTATGTCCAGTGCCTGGCACTGAGTGGGCGCCAGCAAGGATTTGCTGAATGGGACTGAGGAATAGCTCCTGGCGATGCACCAGGGGTGACGTTGTGAGTGGGCTCAGAACCTGGCTGCTTCAAATGCAAATTTATTTGCTTTCCCCCAGGTGTAGGTTGATGAATAGTTGTGAAGACATGAGGGTCGCCTGTAAATTAATCCCCTGCCTGGCAGGGGCTGGGCTGAGCTAGAGGGGAAGGACATTCAAGGAGGCAGCCTCATGAGGAGGCCTCTCCTCTCCCCTCATCTCTCCTCCCCTCCCCTCGCCTCCCCTCCCCTCTGCTTTCCCTTGCCCTCCCCTCCCCCTCCCCTCCTCCCTCCCTTCCCCCCTCACCTCTCACCTCCCCTCCCCTCCCCACCTCCCTTCCCCTCATCTCTTACCTACTCATTTTCTTTTCTTCTCTTCTCCACCTCTTGCCTGGTCCAGCTGGAGCAGAGTGAAGCCAAGTGTGAGGAGGCCTTGAAGACCCAGAAGGTGCTCACAGCGGACCTGGAGAGCATGCACAGCGAGCTGGAGAACATGACGCGGAACAAGAGCCTGGTACCTGTCCCTTCCTGCAGCTGTAGGGACCTGGGCCACCATAGGCCTCTGGGGGCTAGTGTGGGCCTAGTGTGCGCTCAGCACTGTAGGAAGTACAAGGACATTTATTGTAAACCTACCGGGTAGCACCTTGGAGGCACAGACATCCATTGTAGGCCTCTTGTGTGCTCAGCTCTGTGACAGGGACAGGGGGACTTATTGTAGACCTACTAGGTGCTCAGCGTTCTGAATGTGCAGGCATCCTACTGTAAGCTGAGCATTATAAAGATATGAGGCATTGATGAGGCTCAACTGTGTGCTCCCATCTGCCATGATAAGCAAGGAAGTCTGTTTGGACAGAATGGGTGCTCAGTGCTGTGAATGTGCATCTGATGTGAGCTTGCTATTTGCTCAGTACCCAGTGCGGGAACACAGGTGTATACTGTGTGCCCACCCTGCTCGCCACTCTAAGTGGTTCTCAGATATCTGCTGTGGTCCTACTGTGTGCTCACCATCATGAGCTTGAACTTGGTCCTTATTGTGGGGCTACTGCATGTCCCCTCTAGTAAGTGGAGACAGGGGCATCTCTTGGCCCACTTAGGCTCATTACCAGGCGAAGATTTCAGCCATTTATTATAGAACTACCCATGCTCACCCCTGAATGGGGACACATGGACATATATTGTCGATTTATTATTTTGGTGAAAATTGGATGTAGGTTTCCAAGTCTCTTGTCTGGGTGTACGGGGTTGGCTTAGATTTATACTCAATGTATAAAACCCTAAAGTTTAGGTATAGAGTTTTATAGGCAAATGCTTATCTCAAGATCTCTGCGGGCCTTTTTGTCCCTTATTTTGTTGGAACTTGCCTACAAGCATTCATACACACACATACACGTACATGTGCACATGTGTATACACAGGAATGAATGTACATATTCATATGTGATCACCAGGCACACATACAAAATAAATGCCCTCCTTATAGGTAACCTATGCCTCCAAGTTTATTCATCCATCTAATACATATTTATTGAGCACCTGTTATAGGACAGGCCTGGTGCTGGCTGCTGAGGTTATATCTGTGAACAGAACAAAGTCCCTGGTCTCAGGGAGAGTGCCGGGGTTTACATTTTCATATATGTACTATGCCTATTGAAAATGTGCACACATAGGTTCCCAAGTGGGACTGCACAGACATAAATGCATACACACACACACCCTGAATTCATAGTCACATGCAATACCTAGTATACACACACACACACACACACACACCACCAAGCTGTTACACCTACCACATGCATTGGTAACCACAGCCACTCTTAAACATTGACGGTCACTCACCTCACACACCCATAGGCAAGCCCCTCTTTACTCTTCCTCTGGACCCTGCTGCCCATCCCTCACCCTCCCACCTGGCCTTGACCACGGACCTGCCTCTCCCAGGTGGATGAGCAGCTGTACAGGCTGCAGTTTGAGAAGACGGACCTCCTGAAGCGCATTGATGAGGACCAGGATGACCTGAATGAGCTGATGCAGAAGCACAAGGACCTCATTGCTCAGGTAGTGAATGGGACCTTGGTGGAAGAAGCTCAGGGGCTTGGGGTGGGGTGAATGGGGAATGTTGAGAAGGTGATATGATTGGACTGCTCCCTCATCTTAACATCTTGGAGGGATAAGTGCACAGAGATAGATAGGAATTGTACATTTCCTGTGGTCCTGATGGAGGACAATGTCACCTTCAGATGGTGTGTGCATCTCTGGAGGACATGTCCACCAAGAAAGATTTGTATTTATCCATGCCCCTATCTGCCCATCCACCCACGCATTGACCCTTAATCTACTCATCAATTCACCCATTCACTTTTCCACCCATCGACTCATTCACTTACTCCCCTATCCATCTGTCCATCATCCATCCATCCATCCAATCATCCACCCATCCAATCATCCACCCATCCAGTCATCCACCCATCCAATCATCCACCCATCCAGTCATCCACCCATCCACCCAACCACCCATCTGTCTGTCCATCCAGCCACTTATCTATCTATCCATCCATCCATCCATCTTTCCATTCATTTATCCATTCCTCCATCCTACCACCCACGTACCCATTTATTCACCTATCCAGCCACCATTTTCTTTTCCTTTCTCTCTCTCTTTATTTTCTTTCCTTTCCTTTGTTTTCTTGCTTTTTTCCTTCCTTCCTTCCCTTCCTTCCCTCCCTTCCCTCCCTTCCCTCCTTTCCCTCCTTTCCCTCCCTCCCTCCCTCCCTCCTTCCTTCTTTCCTTCCTTCCTTCCTTCCTTCCTTCCTTGCTTCCTTCCTTCCTTCCTTCCTTCCTTCCTTCCTTCCTTCCTTCCTTCCTTCCTTCCTTCCTTCCTTCCTTCCTTCTCTTTCTCTTCTTTCTTTCTTTATTCCTATCTTTATATCTATTTATTCAATATTTACTGAATCCTTGCCATGTGTTAGGCACTGTGAAAAATGCTAAGTATATTGTGGTGATCAAAAGCACATCCCATTCCCACCTTCATGTACCTCACAGTTGAGTGGACTGGGAAGACTTTATCATGTGGTCACCCAGAGCAGAGGGGAGACTTGCAAACTGAACCAAGAGTCCGGAAAGAAAATGAACACAATTCTGCAAATCGTGACCTAGGTTGGGAGTCAGGAAAGGCTTCCCAGAGCAGGTGTCATTTGGATGGAGATCTGAACAAAGAGCAGGAGTTGCTTAGATTAGAGTGGAACACTGGGGATTGGGGGTGCCTTCCAAGCAGAGGAAATAGCACATACAAAGGGCCTGTGATGGTGCATTGGAGAGACTGAAAGGAGGCCAGTGAGGACAATGTGGCACAAGACAGGCTCAGGGAAAGAAGAGAATCAGATCAGGGTCTTAGAGGCTGTTATGAGGTTGGGTTTTATTTTATGGTTGAAGGGAATCAATTGGCAAGCTTTTCAGGGGCAAGAGCAGTTGGAGAGGACCAGCCAGCATGCCGCCCCAGACTGTCAGCTCCATAAAGGCAGGACCCTCCTCTGCCTTGTCCAGTGCTGTATTCGGAGCCAAGAAGAGCGTCTGGCCTGGAGGTGCTCAGTGAATCACCGTTGAATAAATGAAAGCTGAACGTGTCCAGGGGAAGGACAACTCCAGCCTGGTAGATGGAGTGAAGATGAGGAGGAGTGGATGGATGCTCTTGGGAGATGATCAGGAGACATGAGGGCAGCATGGGTGGAACAGAAGCTTTGGGGTGAAGCTGAGGGATGTGATGTGGAATCCCCAGTGGATCTCCACATAATGACTGCATGAGGGAAAGAACAGCTCCCTCCAAGAGCAATGTCTTCCTTGCAATACACCTTCCAGAGGAGATCCAGGGGGAGATACCTGCTGCGCTCTAAATGCATCTGACAGAGGTGGGATCTGAAGGGGTTTCTGCTGGACAAAGAATAATAATAGCAAAATAATTGGTGATATCATCCACATGGTAACAACCACAAAATAGTCTATGCCACTGTCTACACTTGCGGATCACACATATTTTTGCCCCAAAGAGAGGTGTATCTGTTAAGTTACAAAGGCACTATATACCTATGCCCATAATAAACAATTTAAATAATAAAGACACAAGAACTAGAAAGTAAAGAGGTGCTTCTACCCTCTAGAATTCCTCTCTTCAGAGGTAATGAAGCTCAGCAGTTGGCTCTATTTAAAAAACCTTTACTCTCCACTGCTTCATTTAGTCTCTGAACAAACCCAATACAGAAAAGCCCAGCGGAGGCTATCGGTCCATTTTATGGATGCAGAGATTGAGGTGCAGATCTGTAGATTGCTAAGACCAGGGTCCGGGTCTAGAACCTCAGTTACCTGACCCACCGAGTAGCTCTCTCATCCCTTGGAATCTGGTCCTAGTGCCATGGCCAGCCCACTTCTGTCTGGATTCTCAGGCGTGTATAATAAAATGCTGGACAGTTGACCAAATCCAGAGGCTTATATAATTGGAGTGACTCAGCGAACATTGAAATGAAAGATGGTGAGGAGGATGTGAGAGGTAATTTTTGGGAGACAGCTATTATCATAGAAGCTCTGAGAGATGTAGACATCTGTGGGTGGGGAAAGTAGGGATTTTCAGGGGTGGTTTCCCAGCAAGGCTTGTGGTCTCAGGGTGATATATATACATTTTTTTTTTGTCTCACCAGTCTGCTGCTGACATTGGGCAGATCCAAGAACTGCAGCTGCAGCTGGAGGAAGCCAAGAAGGAGAAGCACAAGCTTCAAGAACAAGTATGTGCTCAGAGTCATCCTATAGTTGTATTAGTCAGGGTTTTCTTAGAGGGACAGAACGAATAGGGGGTGTGTGTGTGTGTGTATATATATATGAGTTTATTGTTTGTTTGTTTGTTTACTTTTGAGACAGAGTCTCACTCTGTTGCCCAGGCTAGAGTGAAGTGGCGTGATCCCGGCTCACTGCAACCTCTGCCTGCCAGGTTCAAGCGATTCTCCCGCCTCAGCCTCCCGAGTAGCTGGGATTACAGGTGCCCGCCACCATGCCTGGCTAATTTTTGTATTTTTAGTAGAGATGGGGTTCTGCCATGTTGGTCAGGCTGGTTTCTAACTCCTGACCTCAGGTGATCTGCCCTCCTCAGTCTCCCAAAGTGCTGGGATTATAGGTGTGAGCCACTGGGCCTGGCTGGGGAATATATTAAGTATTAATTTACACGATCACAAGGTTCCACAATAGGCCGTCTGCAAGCTGAGGAGCAAGGAGAGCCAGTCCGAGTCCCAAAACTGAAGAACTTGGAGTCCGATGTTTGAGGGCAGGAAGCATCCAGCACGGGAGAAAGATGTAGGCTGGGAGGCTAAGGCCCATCTCCTTTTTCACATTTTTCTGCCTGCTTTATATTCACTAGAAGCTGATTAGATGGTGCCCACCAGATTAAGGGTGGATCTGCCTTCTCCACCCCACTGACTCAGATGTTAATCTCTTTTGGCAACAGCCTCACAGACACACCCAGGATCAATACTTTGTATCCTTCAATGGAATCAAGTTGACACTCAGTATTAACCATCACAGGGAGGAAGAGAGGGATTTTCCCTGGACACTTACCTATACTTTGGCTCCTGGGAACTGTTTCCTTCAATTCTTTTATTCATCAATTCATTCAGATACTCACTCAATTCCAGTTGTGTGCCAGGCACATTGAGACCACTCCCTAGAGAGTCAGACACATGCACACATACTCACACTTATTTACTCTTGCCTGTTCTTGTGCTGGATCCAGGCACGCTCCATGCACTGAGACTCAGCCGTGCAGTGCAGAATTTTCTCCCTCTGAGAAATGGCTCCAAGAACAAAGAGATGATCTGTGCAAGACAGGATCATGATCCTCTGTGAAATCTTCCTTTGAAGTCATGGTCCCTCCAAACATCTCTGGGTTTCTGTCATTACCTAGAGGGTTGCTATTATCCATGAAAGTTTCAAAGCTCTTCTAGAAGCCTTGCATGTGCCTGCTTAAAGTGACTGCTGGAGTGACCAGGTCTCAAGCAATTTCTTATAGGTGCTGAGTAACAACACGCACAACAAATGGAATAACAGCAGTGGCCATTTGCTGGCTGCTTAGTATGTGCCGGTCACTAATCTCCTCTAATCCTCCCAAGAAAAATGAAGAAACTGAGGCTCAAGGAAAGGAACTGACTTTCCCAGACTCACACACCAGGAAAAAACCTGGCTCCCAAACCCACCCTTGCTTTATCTTTTTGATGCCGTAGCTTCTTGCTCACAGACTAGCTTTGCTCCTTGATCAGAGCAGGAAAGGAGAGAAGGGAAGCACCGATTAAAAGTCTTGTTTTCGATTCTGAAGACATAAGAAGCATCACCTCCCAGCACCTGAGACCCAGTATCAGGGTCTGGTGTGAGGGTCCAATGAGGGTCCCAAGATTGAGGCCCGGCAATTCTTGCTTGTACAGACATTTAACATGCAGCACACCTGAGCAGAGAAGGAGGTGGTATAAAGAGCTGCCCCCACCCTCCCAGGCTGGGTCCTGCATGTGTCTCTGTCCTGGTATCAGGGACAACAGGTGTCCAATAGACTTCTCTCTTGTACCTACAGCTGCAGGTGGCTCAGATGCGCATCGAGTACCTGGAGCAGTCCACCGTGGATCGAGCCATTGTCAGCAGGCAGGAGGCGGTCATCTGTGACCTGGAGAACAAGACGGAGTTCCAGAAGGTGCAGATTAAGAGATTTGAGGTACATAGTGATACATAAATAGTGCTTGGGCCAAGAGCAGGGAGAGCTTTTGTGTAAGCTTCATCCACCCTTCTACTCATCTCTCTACTCACATGCCTTTATCTAGATATACATTACTCATCCACTCCTCACCCAAACTCCCTCCCTCCTTCCATCGTACCATCATCCCTCAAGCCACCTACCCATTTACCTATCCATCCTCACGTATGTCTCTCCTTCTCCTTCCACAATCATGGGTCCATTCATCCATCCTCCCTTGCATTTGTTCTTCCTTTCCCCTTCACTTTTTCTTCTCTTCCTCTATTATTTTTTCTTTAGCCCTCAACCCCTCTGTCTGCTCATTCTTTTATGCATTGATCCAGTTCTTCCTGCCTCCATCCACCTACTCAACCACTTACATGCCCAATACTCATTTTGAACAGAAGTTTATTTTGTACCCAGTGTGTGCTAGGCCCTGTTTTAGGTGCATAGAAGACAGATGTATGACACAGATCTGCTTTCAGAAGCATATATCTTTGTAAGCAATGTGGGTAAGATATGTATATAAATATCTGTAATATGGAGAGAGTGCTATGATGTTTAGAGGATAGAGATCTTTTCAAGACTCAAGAATCAGGAAGGCTTCTGGGAGGAGGTGGCATTAATGCTGAACCTTGAAGGACAGGTAAGGCTTGGATGAGCTGGGGTGGGGTTCAGTGATTACATTCACATTACCCTTGAGCTGGGAACACAGGTGTTTACTTCTTCAGCTCTGTAGGCCAATGACATCACCATTGTCAAAATACTTTCACATCAGTCACTCCACTTGATATTTGATACAGTCCGTGAGGCAGGTAGGATAAGCCTTCTCTGATGAGAAGATGACCCCAGAGAGGTCAACTGACTTGCTCAAGATAAAGCCAGGCAGTGCATGGGATAAGGTAGAGTGACACCTGACCTTCACTTCCTCCTGGTTACAGGTCCCAATTTCTCTGCAGCCAGCTGGCTTCACCACAGTAAGACAGTGTGTCTAGACAGTTGTGAGGCTGCATTCCTCATTCTGAAACATTTGCCCCTGATCTCCCTAGGGACATTTGGTCTCCAGTAAGGCTGCTATGGATGAAGAACACAGAGAAATTCTTCTTTGCTTTGACCCTCATTGGTTCCCAGAAATTCCTCAAGGTCTGACTGTCTCTGCAGATCACCATGAAACTTTGATCTACTATATTTTAAATGATTAAATATGTAAAGTTGGGCTATATCATATGCCATTTTAAACGTGGTTCTAGCATAGTGAAATGATAGCAGAGGAGAAAAGAAAATGAGTGTGGGAAAACTTCAAATGGAAAGATTCTATCTCCAAATTCAATTTTCCCCTCTGCCGCCATGATTTGAATTTAGTAGAATCCTGGGTCTTTGAGGTGTAGAGATGGGGTACCTCAAAGACACAGTTTGAGAACTCCTTCCAGTCTTCCTGCTGTTCTTGGAATTGTTGCTGAACTTCATTTGAGAGGTGAACTGAATAGGAAAGCGTTTCTTTCAGGTTATTATTCGGTGTCTGATCTGCAGGCTGTTATTCCCACTGCCTGTGGCTAGAGAAAAAGGGCTCAGAGTCCTTAACAGGGGCTTGAAATATTCATGTGGGCCCCGTCTTATGTCAACACTAGAGTATTTGCCCATCAGGATCGATTGGTTCTGGGCTTGTTGGCCAACTAATGAATTCTGCAGAACAGTCCTTGGGTTTGTTTGGTGTGGCACTCGTGATGGCCAAAGCACTTTTCTATTGTTTCATTGTGTCCTCAAGGATTCCCCATCCCCCCTGCCACCAGGAAAGGAAAAATGTCATAAAATAGTAGGGCTGAGCGTCATGAGAGATTACCTAAACACCCTCATTCTATAAATCAGGAAACAAAAACACATGTGGGGGAAAGATTTTTGAGCTCAGCAGAGTTCTCTCTTCATTGCATCAGTCCCTCGAGATAAATAGGAGCTGCTGGAAAAAAAAAAAAATTAATAATCCCCAACCCTTATCTGGCACATCCTATGTGCCAGGCACCCAAGCCTTCTGCATACCAAGAAATTAGATTCTGACAGCGTCCCTGGGACACAGGTACTATCATCATCCCTGTCTCTCAGAGGGGCTCAATAACCTGCCCAAGGTCACACAGCCAGTGAGAGGCAGAGGTGGGATTTGAACCCAGAGGGTCTTGGGGGCGAGGGTTCTCATAAATATGCTACACCGCCTCTCAGAATAGCAGTTATTTCATTTATTTATTTATTTATTTATTCGAGACGGGGTCTCTCTCTGTCACCCAGGCTGGAGTGCAGTGGCATGATCTTGGCTCACTGCAACCTCCACCTCGCCAGTTCAAGCAATTCTCACGCCTCAGCCTCCCAAGTGGCAGGGATTACAGGCATGCACCACCACGCCCGGCTAATTTTTGTATTTTTTGTAGAGAAGGGATTTCGTCACATTGGCCAGGCTGGTCTCTAATTCCTGACCTCAGGAATTGATCCACCTGCCTTGGCCTCCCAAAGTGCTGGGATTACAGGCATGAGCACTGAGCCCGACTGTCATTTTTTGCATGTTGTTAATTCTTCATTTTTGTAGCAGACATCAGCATTCTTATCCTGATTGTAAAAACACAGGAAACTCGGCAAAGGATTTCTCTTCCTTAGGCTCCCTTGTTTCATACCCCTGGCCTCCAACTTCAAGGTGGGCATGTGTCTCTGCCCCTCCCAGGTCCTGGTGATCCGGCTTCGGGACAGCCTGATCAAGATGGGGGAGGAGCTTTCACAGGCGGCCACGTCGGAGTCCCAGCAGCGGGAGAGCAGCCAGTACTACCAGCGGCGGCTGGAGGAGCTGAAGGCCGACATGGAAGAGCTGGTGCAGCGGGAGGCGGAGGCCAGCCGGCGATGCATGGAGCTGGTGAGTTCTGTCCCCATCGCGGGCTCTTAGCAACTGAGAGTTTGCAATGGGGTAGAGCCCCCCTTTTCAAGACTTCTGAATGGGAGATTGATGGGTTTGGGTCCTGGGCCTCTGGGGTATGCCGGACGCCAGGAGAAACCAGAAGGGGAGTGGGCTGAGACAACACTGTCATTGACTGCAAACCCTGGGGGTGGGCCCAAAGTGGACCAATGGCATTCACTGCTGCCGGATGGCCGCCAAATTCACTTATATATCAGATCCCAGACTTTCTTTTCCTGCTCCATTCATTCCACTCCATGGCAGGAAGGCCTCGTACAAAAGAGGAAAGAACCGGTGTTTATTAACGGCCTATCTTTCACTGGGTCTCAACATCCATAATAGCCTATAATCCTCATGTCAGCCCTGTGAAGTCAGATTTATTGCCCCCATTTCACAGATGATGACAAACCGAGCCTTCCAAAAGGGGAGATGACTAGTCTAAGGCCACATCTGGTAAACATAGAGCTGTTTCTGGGCTGTTAGTAGCAACAACAAAAATAAAAGATACAAATGATGATTCAAGCCACCATGTGTGAAGTATTTGCTCCCTACCAGGTTCTGAAGGAAGCATTTCTCATCTAAATCCTCATTTCAGAACTGTGAAGTAGGTGCTGTCTTGATGTCCATTAAAAAGGTGGGGAAACTGGTGCGTGGAGATATCAACTTGCCAAACTGAGGTTCCGAATGGTACGTTTGCTTGCCCAGGGTCACACAGGAGTAAGAATTTGAACCCAGGGCTGCCTAGCAATGTAGTCTCTTAGTCACTAACTCATACTTTGCCTCCAGGATGGACCAAGGAACATTTATTTTTATTTTATTTTATTTTTCTGGAGACAGTCTTACACTGTTGCCCAGGCTGGGGTGCAGTGGCGCGATCTCAGCTCACTGCAATCTCCACCTCCCAGGTTCAAGCGATTTTCATGGCTCAGCTTCCTGAGTAGCTGGGACTACAGGCGTGAGCCACCATGTCCGGCTAATTTTTCGTATTGTAGTAGACAGGGTTTCACTATGTTGTCCAGGCTGGTCTCAAACTCTTGAGCTCAGGCAATCTGCCCACTTCGGCCTCCCAAAGTGCTAGGATTATAAGTATGAACCACTGCACCCAGCCCCAAGGAACATTTTAAAATTTGTTTCCTGCCTAATGGGAAGGTTTCTCCATCATTCAGTGTGTTCTAAGAACTGCACAGGTCACAGAGCATCTAAGAGTGTCTGTTCCACCTTTTCTCCATGGGGCCAGATATCACTAAGGTTCCAGATTTCTGATTCTGTGACCTGGGGGGTATCTGGCACCCCCATTGCCTACCATCATCCAGCCTTCTAGAGACAGCCCACAATATGCCAAGGCTTGGCCCAGAGGTCTTTAAATTACACTGATTTTCTCCATCCTGCATTGTCCACTCTGGTGTTGTGAGAGGTCTCACCAACTTGTTCTTCCTGCAGCACATGTATTAATATGTCTCGGGCCACTGTCTCTCACAGCCGGTGTCATCCCCATCAGGCTTTTCTGTGAGGGGGCGATAAGGCACCGCACAGAGACACAGGTTCCCGAAGTCCAGGCCTCCTGACTGGCAGTTCCTCCACGCCTATGGCCCTGGGAAAGAGAAAAGCTCTTTCCTCCAATTGACAGGATAACTTCCTCATTAACTAGCCCCGTTTCTCATGCAGCTGAGTGCCCCTCCTGGCAAGCTCTGGCTGGGAGGAGAGAACATCCCCAGCCTTTCTCCTCTGATGTCTTCTTTAACTAGCCAGGCACTCAGGCATTCTGGCCAGATCAAATAGTGATTTTCTTCCTCTCTGTCCCTTGATCTCTTTTTCTCTCTTGTCTTCTCTCCTTCCCTCTTTTCTCTCTTTCCTCTCCCTGTCCCCATTCCTGGGGCCATATTCAGATCTTAAAAGGCCCTGAAATACTGAAAAGATTATAGCATAGTTCCCACACAGGAATCAAAATGGACACAACACAAAACCTTAAAGAGCTTGCGTGCATGCTGAAATTAGACCTGCGTCTGTCTTCAATTTCTGATGGCAAGATTCTGGATAAGTTTATCAAAGCTGAACTTTTCTCTTTAGTTTGGTGGGTGTGGTTGACAGGAGTGTTCATTTCCTAGGATTGCCATAGCAAATTATCACAAGCTGCATAGCTTAAAACAACAGAAACTCATT